CAGGACATCTTCCACCGAGGGCGGGCGGCCACCTAGAACCCACCGAGAGCAGCCCCTCAGTCCCCAGCCCAGCTCTGCAGGGCAGGAGGATGGGCTGAGATCTGCCACATGAGGAAGCTCTCCAGGACACCCCAACCCCGCAGAGGTCTCGGGAGAGCGGGTCAGCCTGGCCCAGGTCACAGTGCCAGGGGCCAGCTCTGCTCATGAGCAGGCTCATGCCCCAAAACGCACCCAGCACCCTCCTCCCGCCCTGTCCTCGTGCCCTCTGGATGCCGACTGAGCACCGGACACCCATCCCGAAGTCACGGGGCACACCCTGCATGCCCAGTACCAGAGCTGTGGTCTCACCAGGATCACACTGGTGCACGCAGCCATCTCCCCCCTCAGCCATGCGAGGGGACAGCCCACGGCGTGGCCAGCTCTGCCTGTGCAGAGTGTTCAGCAAGGACAGACACTTGGCAAATGAACCAAGAGACTCGCTGATTTTGTTCCCCCACTTCCCAGGAGAGACCAGGGAAGTACCAGGGACCTGGTGAAGCACAAGCAGCTCTGAGATGGGATTTTAGGGGCTGGATGTTTCTGAACTCCAATGTCCATTCCCCAGCTGTCCCCCTCCCACCACAGCAGAGCTGGACACCGAGACGAGGTCTGGCCGCCCCCGTGGCTGAGTGTGCACCTACCCTGCTGCAGGGACGAGGCCTCCTCGATCTCTTCCCCTGCCACGCTCTGTGAGGAGAAAGAGGTTACTTCTGTGGGCTGGAGGGCTTTGCTGTGCTTGTCTCCTGCTCTGGCTTTCTCCACAGAGCTGTGCTCAGGGCTGGGGACTCATTTCCCAGAGGGACACCAAGGGGCCACCCATCACCTTGTGGCACCCTGGCCTGTGGTGGAGGGATCTTACAGGCAATGGCAGCAGGTGCTGGAACCCAGCGAAGCCCAGTGTCCACCCCTGTCCCAAACAGTGCTGGGCTCCCCACAGAAGCTGGGGAAGGTCAGCTCTGACTCGGCTGCAGCCAAGTTGCTTTCCAACCCCCCAGCTCCCAAAGATGTGTCAGGGGCACAGGGAGCAGCGATGTCCTTCCCTGAGGAGCTCTACAGGGAAGTAAATGCAGCTGAGACTGTCGGCTCTGGGCTGCTCATGCTCATCTTGACCCTGTCACTGAGGAAGCGATGGCCCATCACCAGGCACCTCCCGTGTCCCAGAAGCCCCCTCAGAAGAGCTCTGACCCTTCTCCCCAGCAGAGTACACTTACTTCTGGAGAGCTGTTCTCTCTCAGGACCTGCTCACCCCCACTGAGCGCTGGCTGCGAGTCAGAGTCCTCAGAGAGCTTCTCTTCATCCTCCTCGTGGATGGGGGATGAAGGAGACCGTAGTGTGCTGCGGCAAGAGAAACTCCATTTGCAAGGAGCACCACAGGCTCTGGCAGATTTGGTGTCAGCAGCTCAAGTTGTCACCACCCCTGCCCTGTCCCTCCTCCATAAGCCAACACACATGAGCAGGAGCTCAAACCATGGGGCTAAACTGACCAGGGCCCTCCAGGAACAGCAGCAGCAACGTTTCTGGGGCAGAGCCAAGCAGTGCAGAGCTCCAGCACAGTAACACGACCTGGACAATCCTGCCTCCGCATGGAAAGCGAGAGGCACAGGTCCCACACTGCTCCTCACACCTTCAGGGGTTCCCTTCCCAGGGGGAAATTTGGAATGGAGGACAGTGAGCAGTGCCAGGAGCAAACCCAGCCTGACCCCATCTGTACAGCCCCACCAGGGACACGTGCAGGGCAGCTGCAGTGGGCTGCCCACTCCACAGCATCCACCTCTACATCCTCCATCACAGGGCCAACAGAGGAGGCTTCAGACAACAACCAAAGGATCTCATCCAGCATTTTGTGCTCTGAAATTCAAGTCACTTCTCTCTCCATTCTTTTGCTCCTGGGGAACTCCATGGAAAGCTGAAACCCAACAAGGTTTGGATGTCAAATGCAAATTGAGGAACTAACTGCATTGGAAAGGAGACATTTCCAGCCGAAGTCTGGATGAAAACTTCTTGTTAAAAGTCCTCCTTCTTTTGGTGACAAAGCCAGCCCTAGACATAAGCTGGTGACCTCAGGCTGAACACAGGGGCAGTGTCCCAGTTCTCTCATGGCATGAGGACCTGCTGGCCTCCTAAAACCATGAGCTAGCAGTGCTACCGGTGATGGGACCAGCCAGAGCCCTCCCAGCTCCCAGTGTGTCTGGCCACAAGCCTTCAGGGCTTGCAAGAGGAGTGGACCCCTCCGTCCCCATGCTGACCTATCTGGAGACTTGCTCCGCTTGCCCTTTTGGTGGCTGCTCTCCACAGCTCTGTCCATCCCAACGAGCGGGCGGCTGGCGGGGGGCATCCCATCCACCACACCAGAGTAGTTGATTTCATCATACAGAGGAGCTGAGGGGATGGACGGGGACACAGAGCGAAGGCCATTCAGGGCTTCCAGCAAGGAAATGGGCTCATAGCCTGGAGGGATGTTGTCAGAGCTCTGTGGATGAGAAAGAGAAGGGCAGGTTAAGAAACGCTCATCAGGCTGGAAGCCCCCCTAGGAAAGGGAGACCCCGCTGCAACCCAGCCCTGCACCTCCCACACTGCGCTTCCCAGCAGCCCGTCCCCACAGCCACCTCTCCAGAGAGCCTCAGCCTCCGTCCCCTGCCACAGCCACGCGCTCCCCTCTGGGCTGTAACGCTGGTGATACTCCAGGCAAGTTTCCAGAGACATGCTTGAGAGACTGGGCACCTCAGCAAGCTGGAACACGGGGGGGCACCTCCCCACCATACTTCCAAGAGCTGGGCAGTGAGGGTGCTAAGAAGGTTCCTAACAAAGCTGCTATAAAATATGTTTGGATTTTTTTCTCCTAAAGGTTCCTCCGAGGGTTCAGAGACCCTTCCAGCTCAATGAGCCCCTCACTTCTGCTTCCAGATGTGGTACACAGCTGTTTCACAGCACCACCAGAGTCACCAAGAGATCGAAGGAGCAGAGTACACGTGCACCAGCTGAGAGCTGAACACAGAATCACAGAATGGCCTGGATGGGAAAAGCCCTTTAAGCTCATCGAGTCCAACCACGAACCCAACACTGACCAGTCCCCTATGACTAACCCATGTCCCTCAGCACTATGTCTACACAACTCTTCAATCCCTCCAGGGATGGGGACTCCACCACTGCCCTGGGCAACCCCTTCCAATGCCTGATGAGTCCTCAGAGCCTACACCACTTCTACTCCTCCCATGGACTCGGTCCCCTCAGCTGCTAACGCTGTCCCTCTGCACCGTCACCTCTGCTAAAAGGTAGGAAAAGGATCACAGAACCACTGACCCTGCAGGGACAAGAGCAAAACTTCACCAGTTCCCATTCCCTCTGTAACTCACTAAGCTGTCGGTCAAAGGGACCCTTGAAAAGCCATTAAACCAATGCTGGTTCTACTCCAGAAACTCTCCTGATCATCAGAGTCCTGTGGACCTGGAGATAAACGGGGTTTATGGTGCAACCCAGTAGGTCAGCGGCAGCTCAACCCAGCCTGCTGCAAACGAAGAGGCAAGACTGCAGCAGTCCAGGCTTATCCTAAATTAAGCTGTTTCAGCCCTGCATCCGCAGGGAGGTGGTTCTCTGGTGTACCTAAGATGGGGAGCTGCTGCTGAGCCTGCCCATGAGCTCCAGTAGCTTCTCTGTGTTTGATCTCCCAATGGCACAGCTGCAGATGAGCCTGCCCAGCAACTTGTTCCAACCCAGCCATTAATTTGGGGTGAGATGATTGCTGAACTGATTCACTTGTGGTCACAGAAGGAGATAGATCTGATTGTGAGGAGAGAACGAGCAGCACCTGGGGTCAAGCATCAACCCAAAGTATGGGTCTTGTGATGGTTATGAGCTTGTGCTGAAGATTGCAGCTGGTGACTGCAAGATAACTAAGTCAACAAGGAATCAGCTCAGAGCTGCTGCCACCCGGAGGCGGTGGGGCCAAAAGCCATCTCCACAAAAGCATTTCATGTCCAGACAGTGGCTGGGAGGTGCCATTGTGGTCACAGAAAAGTCAGGGAGATAAAACCCCCCTGGCTTGTGTCGGGGATATTTTCTCCTGGCCATGCAGACAAGACCTGCAGGTTCAAAGGCTGCTCATTTTGGTTCACTGTGGTGATAGCTCAGGTTCTGTGGCACAGTTTTCTCAGCAAAAGGCTACAACACCCTCGCTGCAAGTTACTGAGCTTTTAAATAACCCTGAGACACAGCTCTCTCCTGGGACACCTACCACTACACCATCCCTAGAGCCCACTGCTCCAGCGGGAGCACTGCCAGTTGCTGTAGGAGGCTTGCAGAGAGCCAGGTCACGCCAAGCTTGCAACAGCCTCATCACCTGAACCCAACCTCAGGCTTCTGCAGACATGACAAGTGCAGCGAGGCACGTTCCTCATGAGGCTGAGCATCCAGGATGGCTTGAGCAAAATAAAACTGCATCCTTCTCGATGACAGCTGTAGCTGCATATGATGGGAGTACACACAGAAGGCAGAAACAGACCCTTCCTGGCCAGGGGTCCTCCCTCAGCTTTCCCCTTCCCACCTCCTGGTCCCTCACAATTGCCATTCATACTGTCCCCAGCACAGCACCCCAGTTACACACTCACACCAACTCGGAGAGTCCTCAACAAAACAAGTTCCATCCTTCCTGTTTCTGTAAAAGCAAAACAGCCCATTGCAGCCAGTGACCCTGAACACAAGACCTGGTCCAACCGTGCCCATGTGTCCACCCCCACCTCCCCGCACTGGGGTAGAAACCACAACGAGATGTGTCCACACCAAACTAACAAGGGGATAAGACCAGTGACAGGAAGCTTTTGGGTGAGCCAAGGGTCAGCAGCTTTCCCACAGTCTTACAAAGCTACGAAAACATCTTGGCCAGGAACCATAAAGCAGCCAGGTTCAGGACCTGGGGATGGTCCTTGAGAATCAGCGTCAGAGCCCTGTGGCAAGCTGCTGCCATCTTGTTTATTCCTTCACACACAAACCAGGGAGGTCAGTGATTGTCCGTGCAGGGTGTGAGCATCTCACCGCTAACGTGGAGCGCTGCAGCCCGTGCAGGGGCACAAGGCAGTCCCAGCGTGTCAGCAAGCCCCCGTGTGCAACACTTCCACGTGCCAGTGACTGTGCTGGCACACAACTGCCGCAGGAGCAAACGCAACCAAGGCCACTTACTGTTTCCCTTCTGGGTTTCCTGCTGGGCAGGGAGACAGTGCTCACTTTAAGGGGTTTAAAAGGACACTGTCAAGAGAAAACCAGGTTTTAAAGAAATTGATTCTTGAGGTTAGTGGCACAAAGGGACACACAGCATCTCCTCACCTCACTCCAGGTGACAGCACCTGCTTCCTCTACACACCACACTGCTTCACAGCAACCCTGGGGGTTTCTCCCCTGCCCTATTTCCTAGTCCCAGTTGAAGGCAGCAGGGCTACAGTGCTGCAGAGGACAGACAGGCTTTTTCTGTGACAATCTCTTTCTGTTCCCACAAAAGCCTGTAAGATGATCTAGATGCAGATCCTCCTCTCCTCACTGATCTCATGTGTCTCACCAGAGCAAGAGCACTGCTCACGCAATGAGCTGCTGCCCTCACTGCACCAGAGACGTGTGACCTGGTCCTGAGGCCACCAGCACAAGACTTTCTATCCCACGCTCACTCAGCTGGGTGCTGAGACCCCCAATCACTCAGGGAGGTTGGCACCAAGAGGCCTTTCTGCTTCCATGCTGGGAACCCCAATGCCAAGGGCATTTCATCAGAGTGTGCTGCCACACAGATGTGTGTGCAAGTCAAACTGTAACCCCCATTTATTTTCCCAGCTCCCACTCTGCAATGCCCACAATCTGCCACTTTTCTTGCTGGGACAGGCTCCAAGAAAACTTCTCAGGCTGAGGTTTCTGTGGATTTGTTACCTCCAAAAGACAGGAGGGCACTTGGCTAAAATCAGTTGTATTAACTAATCCACAAGAGGAAAGGTCCTGGCTTTCTAGCAGGGTTGAGAAGAGAGGCTGCACTGCTCAGAAGACCTCGCTCCAAGCCTGAGTGCACCTCCTGAGGTCCCAGGGACATCAGCCATCAGGCCAAGCAAACTGTACACACCCAAGCTGCCTGCTCAGGCTGAGACCAGCACCCGGGCTTTGTACACAGGGCTGGGAGATACTTACAGAGTGCTCGTCATGGTCAACGCTCTGTGCCAAGACAGGGCTGAACGACACCGGCGACAGAGCCCCCGGCTTCTTCCTCACAGCCCGGATCTGCAGCAGGGCACGGAAGGCTAGGAGAGAACAGTAGGCAGGTGATTGCATGGCCAAGCAGGACCAAGCTGTGCCAGCCATGTACCAGAGCTCCTCGGCTCACTGCAGCCACACCATCAGCATGGGAGAGCCCTCCACGTGCAGGGGGAGCAGGACCACAGAGCCAAGCGCTGTGGTCTGGCTCCTAGTTGACTGGTCTTTACTGGGGAGAGATCTGCTGGCCAAAAGAGTCTGGGTAGATGTAGGCCTTGCAGAGAACAGTGCTGCCCCGGCACAGTCAAGTACAGAGGTGCTTCAGGCCTGATACTGTACAACACAGCAAGAAAAACATGAGCTTGGCCTCAGGCAGCGCACTGCAAGCTACAGGATGGGGGGGCCTCATGGAAAACCACTTTGGGTTCATTCAGGCCCCACAAGTCTGAGCCCTGGGGGTCAGCTGGTGCTGGAAGCATCGCTCCTGCCATCAGCTGCCCACTCCCTGGTCAATGCTATGGTGGGGAGAGGCTCTGTAATAGCTGCAAACCCTGACAGAGGGTTAGTGGCTGAACTCCTGTCTGTGGCACAGCAATTCCTTGGTCCTCCCACTGCAACAGCTTTGATCTTCACTCCCTGCTCACAGTCTCATTCTCTATCTGCAGATCTTTAATATCATTAGTTCCTCTGTGCCAAGGGTGCACATGAATGAGCCAGACATCTGTTCTGATGCAGTTGGAAGAACTTGCTCACACATAAGGAAAAGCCCAGGCACTTCCCTAGTTCCTGTTGCACTCAGCCACTTGCAAGATCAGCCTAGAGCCAGAGGACAGAGCTGCAAATCTATCCTGTCCTTGCTGCCTCTGCCCTCCCCAGAAGCAAATTCCCAGGAAGTCTGACATGGGGGCAACTTTCCAGACAAATACAACCTACTGTGCTGCAGCATACCGATGAGATAATGGTGTTCCTGTGTTTTAAGTTGTGCTACTTATAGTCAAAGCTGTCTGGCACTTCCTCTGATAAGATCTTGCTTTTGGTTACTGCACCTTTGCCAAGTCTGAACTGTTTATACTTCATTTCTCAGGACAAACATCTGTCTTGGGCTCTTTTTTCTTTTCCTGAGGAGTATCGATTATAAACAATCAAATACCTCAGATACCAAGCACATGATCTGTCTATTCCAGAAAAAAAAACAGGCATTTTCTCAAGAGACTCCTATGCCTCTGGGCTTTTCAGAAAGGCCTTGGAATTCACCAAGTGCTGCCTGAGTGTCAGAACAGGTATTTAATTTTTTCCATCTTTCTGGAGCTGAGCAATGCAGGGGTTAAGCAGATCCTCCTCACTCTCCTGGCAAAGCAAAGGCCTCTAAACTGACTGTTGTCTCATCTTTGCTTCCTTGGTGAAGTCAAAGTAAGCTGGTCAGAGGGAAAAAAAAATCATGCAAAGTACTTGGACAGCCCTCCAGTGGGGCTGGCTGCTGTCTCAGCCAGATACTCTCAGGATAAAGCTGCTACATCCCCTCCCTTGGGGGATTTTCCATCTTCTTCACCAAAACACAAGAGCCACCTACATGGTACAGTACAGAGCACCTGCACCTTCAGATCCATCCCAGGGAGAGGGCAAATGGCCAGGGAGGCACTAGACAAAGAGCAACTCACTCACGTGCTCTTCTCCTTCCCTGTTTGACAACAGTTATTTTAGGTGCCAGGAATCACAGAATCACAGGATGTCAGGGATTGGAAGGGACCTCAAAAGATCATCCAGTCCAATCCCCCTGCCAGAGCAGGAACCTCAATGAGATCACACAGGAAGGTGTCCAGGTGGGTTTTGAATGTCTCCAGAGAAGGAGACTCCACACCCTCCCTGGGCAGCCTGTCCCAGGGCTCTGGCACCCTCACTGGAAAGAAGTTTCTTCTCAAGTTGAAGCAGAACCTCCTGTGTTCCAGCTCACACCCATTGCCCCTTGTCCTACCATTGGGCATCACTGAGAAGAGCCTGGCTCCATCCTCCTGACATTCCCCCTTTACATATTTATAAACATTCATGAGGTCACCCCTCAGTCTCCTCTTCTCCAAGCTAAAGAGCCCCAGCTCCCTCAGCCTTTCCTCAGCAGGGAGATGCTAGTGAGAGCAGCAGCATGTTTGATGCTGAGCCCTGGGGTGGGCTATACAAAATGCTCCCTCTCACAGCCTGTACTGACTTAACAGCAACTTAGGAAGGAGAAAGGTGCCCTGGTTTCCTGGGCACATACTCACGCAGCCTGCAGATGGGGCAGTTGTTGGCCTGGTAGCGCAGGGTGTCAGCGCAGGAATTGCACAGACAGAGGTGTCTGCAGGGCAGAATGAGGGTGTCACGGAGGTCTGACAGGCAAACCACACACTCGTTGCTGTTGTCGCTGTTCTCATCATCTGAAGGCTGCAATGAGAGGCAAGACGTTGGCATGTGAATGGAAAGGACCACGCAGAACTGCCAAGGGACTCTGGAGCCTGGGGAAATTTCCCACCCAAAAGTCTGTGAGACAGCTGGCATCCTCTTTCCCCCCCCACAGCTCTCAGTGGGGTTTCTCAGGAGTGCAAGATCCAGCCCACACAGTCCTGCTATGGACACTCCTTCCTCTTGGGGCTCTGTTCTGAGCTCGCTGAAGTTCAGAGACCAGGGCACTGTAGTGTGAATTCATGACAGAGCTGTCCCTCCGCAGAGCTAGGCTGTGTGTGGAGGGGAGCCCCTTTAGGGTAGGGATCGCCTCAGCTGAGGGGAACCAACAACAAGCTCCTACCTGCCAGCCTGGTGGCTCTGAGTGTCAGCAGGGAAGTGGCCCTTTGGCCTTTCTGCCCCATGTCCACAGAGGGATAGCAGCCCCAAAAGGAGCTGCTGGCGGACTGTGGCAGGCAGCAGCTCAGGCTGCCCTTGGGCTGGACAGAAGGAGACTCCAGCCATGTCTAGTCCAGTTTCCATGAGGCCTCCAAACAAGTAATGAAGTGAGTGGTTCTGCCACAGCATCTTCACCTGTCTCCTGTCCTGGCACAAGCTTCGATGCAGCTGCAGGAGAACCAGCCTGAGATGTTCACCTGCTCACAACTACCCTGGTACAAAGGTCAGTGTGAACCCATTCAACATGGACGTGTGTCACACTAGTCTTTCAGTCACTCAGAGCCCCACAAATTGGATTACAGCCACCAAGCAAGCTGTTGTGGGGAGGAGAAACCCAATCTCCAACCCCAAGAGCTCTGTTCACTCACACCTGAGAACCCCACAGTCTCCCACCGATGCCACAGAAGTTATGCCAGAGCCTACCAAACTGATGACCCAGCATGGGCCACCCTCCACCTTCACCTGGTCCCACTTCATGAGGCCCCTCTGGTCAGCAGGGCTAACACATGCTAGACCACACGGAACCTTGGTGTAAAGAGCAACATACAGCATCTGCTGCTGTCCCATCCACACCCAGCCTGCTGACTGTGCCAGCAGAAGTCTGCAAGCCTGTCTGCCTCATCACACTCATCTGTTTTGGGAGGTGGGGAGGGCAGGCTTTTTGCTTTTCCATTAATACGGTTTGCTAAGTATACTGGGAAGAACAAAAATGGCTCCAGGCCACTTGTCTGATGAGCCACAAATGTGTGATTGCTGGATCAAAAGAATCATCACAAGACCCTGGAGGACCCAAACAATCCTCTTAAAAGAGATCCTGTGCAAGAAAAATCTTTGAAAAGGCTTCTCCCTCTTCAGGCACAGGCAGATAGAGATCACAGGATGCTTTGGGCAGGACACTGCATTGCTTGGAGAGAAAATCATGCTTGTCTTGCTCTTTGGCTACTCCTCTGTTTGCAAATCACACACAACCACACACCAGAGTGGCCTGATCCTGAGGCCAGCACTTGGTACACTCTGCAGCCCAGGTGGCAGCAAAGGGCAGCTCTAGAGAAGGCTGAAGCAAATATAAAGCAGCCTCATAATCCACATGGGGCTGTGCAGCGAGCTGGGATTCAGCAGAAGCTCCTGCCTAAAGATGGGCAATGTTTCTGCTTAAGGCATTTGCACATCCACCATCCCTTCGTGATGCTGTGCTCCCTCTTGCTGGGGGATGCAGGCTGCTCTGTGAACACTGGCAAGCCCTAGAGAGCTCAGATCCCTGCCATGCTATGGGAAGGTGCAGCACCCTCATTAAAAACAAACAAACAAAAAACAAACAAACAAAAAAAAGGATCTAAAAAACCCCAGCAAACAGGAGATGATGAAGGAGCCACAGGACCAAAGAAAGCACAGACACACAAGGCACGATGGCCTCGACTGCAGAGAGGTAGTGAGATGGTGTGGGCACCAAAGGGAAGATTTTAGAGAAGCCTGGGAAGCAATGTTCATTTATAATCAATGAGGGGGGGAAAAAAAATACTCTTGGCTGTGCAAACTGGGAAGCACCTGAACTGGCCAGCAGCCTCAGGGCACCAAAAGAGCAACTGACACTGCCCCACTGTCTGTACCAGCCCTAAAAATCAGAGCTCTGCTCCATGGGGCATCGATATCCTCCTGTCCCAGCAATTCCACCCCAGGGAGTATCCTCAAGAGCTTCATGCTATCTACAATTATCCCAGCACAACTTCCCTGGTTGTTTGGGCCTTACAACAGCCAGGACCTGCCATCCCTGGGCTTCTTCAGTGCCTGCACACAGACCTGACAGTCATTCTGGGAAGCATTCACATTGCCCTGCCAAGCCCCTTTGTTAAGCTCAAAAGTAGAAGGTGCCAAGTGGAAACCCACAGCTCAGGGAGCAGCAGTGTCCCGAGCACCTTTACCTTGGTCTCTTGGTTGTTTTTGTTCTCGATGCCGTAGATCTCCTGAAGAAGATAGCTCACCCGGTCAACCTAGTGAAGAAGACAACAGTTGGAGTGTCAGCTGCTCTGTCACTGCTGCTTCGTGAGCACTGCCCCTCCCTCCCCGTGTCAAAATGTCCATGTTACACCCACAGCAGCCAGCTACACACAAAAAAAAATAACAGAAACAAGTATTGCAAAGGATAGCTGCGAGAATGAGTCTCTCCTTGCTCAAAAAGTGGCGCCCATCCCATCTGGTTTGAGCAGGGAGCTCAAGTGACCACTTTTGTCACTATCAAAATCATCTAAAAAACAAGTACTCTGCTTGTCTCGGAGATGAAGAGGGATCAGGCACCTATAGCTCAAATAAGCCAGAGGCAATCAGCCTTCCATGGTCCTTCCCTTCTGTGAAGCATGGCTTAACTTCAACCAAGATGAACCTTCACTCATGAACACATCCTCAGGAGAGGTGCTGTGTCAACAGCTCCTTACCAGCACTTCAAAGGCTGCACATCACTTCCCTGTTCATCACCTGGGAGCATAAGCTCAAGCTACTGAAGCCAAACAAACCATCTCCCTTAGCATGAGAAGCTCTCCAGGGACAACTTAGGGCAGTGTCATTTATTACCACCTCCAGGTCCTTGGTGGCATCTCTAAATTGGGGTGTGTGGTGGCAGAAGGTGCTCTAGGCACAGTGGGAGACACTCACAGCCCCAAACCTGGGACACACTCCTCAGAGCCATGCCTTTAGGCAAGTGCTGTCAGCTCCCCACAAACTCCCCCGAGCAGCTGAATGAAAGCACTGAGGCAAGAAAGGCCAACGGTTCCAGTCCCACAAGGCAAGTCCCCTCTGCACTGTGGGGTGTTCTCCCCCGCTCCCCAGCTCAGCAAGTACAGCACAAGACTCGTAGAGCTGTGAGGAGCAGCCTCTGCAAGGGTGCACAAAGACACTGGACCCCAAGATGTGGTGTTACACAGCAGCTTCCCCCGAGCAGGGTGTGTTCCTCTGCACAAAACCCCGTCACAGGTAAAATGGTGAAGGGGTTGCAAGGTATCAAACTGAGGGGAAGGGAACGCTCTCCTGATGTCTTCACTAACTGTCCAGGTGACACCATGCAGTGAAGCTAAGCCACCAGGAACCTCCTGCTTCAACAGCTTGTCAGTCCCAGGGCTTTTGGCATTTCCATGTGTAATTTGCCTCTCCCCTCTGCTTTTGTCAAGCCAGGTGCTCAGAAAAGCAATGGCTCTGCCGTGGGATTTCAGTGCTGCCGACGTCACACACCAAGATGGAGGCAGCAGCTTAGTTATATCCAGCCTGCCTGCCAGTTTAGAAATGTTCTGAGCTGGGATGCAGCAGCTTTAACAAACTAATTCCAGAGTCTTCCCGTTGAACTCAGCGTGCAGCTCGCAGACAGTCTGTTCTAGGCCAGCATTTCATGGCGATGAGGTCAGCTGTTGGACTGCTGAGCAAAAATCCTCTGCAGCGGCTCACACTCACCCAGGAAGTTTGGGAACAATTATGTGGGAGATGTCCTTTTGTAACTTGACATTTCAAAGAGAGTCTCGTTAACAGCATCCTGACTCCTCAGAGGATCATGATGAGCGACAAGGAGTGCAGAAGTGGTCAGCTCAAAGCAGAGAAGAGGTCAGGAAGGAAGAGATCAAAGCCTCTGCAGCAGTTTGTGTTTGTTTTATCTGCCTGCCTCTAAAAATCCCAAGAAGCTCACGTAAGTCCCAGTAAGAAAAGGGTAATAAGCAGTGTAACATGGCCCTTACCAGAAAGATCTCTAGGTTTTAAAAGAGTAGGAGTATATAAGGAGTAGGTGATTGTACAATGTAGTCCTTCACCTTCACGCTTCTCCAACCCATCCCGCACCACGTCATCCTTCCAAAGGCTTCTGTTGCTATACACAGCCTCAGCTGATGCACACAGGAGCCACCAGCCAAGTCCAGGTCATGTTTTCCTGCCGATCCATCTGTTTGCATTCATCCATGCTGAATATCTTTAAACAAGTTGGTACATACATTATAACTGATCTCAGCTGAGAGAACAAAGCAGTTCAGCTCATTAGCTGCTGCTTCCTGCTCCCAAAGAGCTTTAGAGATCGATGGACACAAAAGGTACCTGGGAATCCTGTCAATGGCAAGGAGGGGAAGGCAGATGAAAAGCAGTGATGGGGAAGAATGTACAATGTTATACTGCAGACATACACTCTGTACCTCTGCCCTATGCTCTTATGGGTGCAGATCCTATCTCAGTTTCAGTGGTACTGTCTGTTCTTCTAGCAAGAGCTTCTTTCTATTTTAAAAGCCATGACAGAGAACATATAAGTGTTACATTTTACAAACTGCCAATAAAAAAAAAGTACCCAGAACCAAACTCTGAGTGGGAAGGTTACGTGCTCTGCCAGTAAAGACAGACAAGCACACACTGTTTCACTGCAGGAGGCAGCTAACCATACTGTGGTAGGGTGGGAACTGCCCTAGAGAGCATTTCCAGCAAGACAGCTCTCCATCTGGGGAGTCCAGAGTGCTAAATGGAGAATGGTACACGCTGCGCTCGTGTGCACAGTAACCCAACGCTGACTCAGAGAGCTCACAGCCATGTAACTGCTGGCTTTAAAATAAATAAATAAATAAATAAATAATTAATTAAAAAAAAAATCCCCCCCGAAACCCACAAGCCAGATAAATGAGCAGCTTTTCATCAGCTCATGAAAGCTCTTCTCTGATCAGAAGAATATGTGAGGAAGAGGCACCACTGGCATCACGCTGCTCTGCTCTCTCAGCGCTCAGGCAGCCTCTTCCAGCACAGTGCACGAGCTCTCCCTTCAGAGGCATGGCTCTTCTGGATGCTCCCACTACAAACCTGCCCAAGCACACTCTATACAGTTCTTTCTGGAACAATCTCTGGCTATCTCTATTAAAAATACTCGTGAGACCCAGATCAATCATGCTCACACCACAGCCAAGTTAAGCACCAAGAAAGGGAGGGGAGCACAGCTAAGCCTGGGACACACAGAGCTCCGAACAGATGTCAGGCTGGAGTGAAGCAACTCACCACTACCACTGGGAAAAACCTCTGGTCAGTGAGGGCTAATATTGGTGCCACTGGGCATGAACAAGTCTGCAGGACAGGCCACGAGTCTCTGCACAGCACTGGTGAGGCAGATGGTGAATTACTGAACACAATTTTGACATGTGATTAACCAGTACTGTTTAGTGGCTCCCTTCTGACTTGGGGACAGGAAGGAACATCTTAGAGCCAAAAGTGTCTAATCAAAGCACTTAATGACCTTCTGGGTAGTAAAAAGCTTTCTAATGCAGATCAGAAAACCCTAGCCATCAATCACAAGCAGCTGAACTCAAACAGGTTTAAAGAAGAAACAGCATACATCTGAAGGCAAAGGGATCGACCACCAAAATCTCATCTCTTTCTCCAAGATATTTCAAGCTGATCCTTGCAGCAGAATTACCACCAGATTTCCTTTCAGAAGTTGAAATTCCTGGAAATCTTAGCAGTTTGCAGCTCCTTATGTACTTCTCTCTGTGCAAGACTGGATGCAACGTCAACCTTGGTAAGGCAGAGCACAGCTTCTGTGCATCACACCACGCTGGGCTGGGCTGAAAAAGGGCTACAGATCCCTAATGCTTCCCTGTTTGCCAGCCTCCATTCTTCCCTTCCCCTCATAACGCCTGCAGCCTGGTAGGTAAACAACAGCTTCAAAGCAAGATCCTTTCTGTGACTGTTCAAGTCCCAAGGTACTTGTAGTGGACAGGCAATATGACCCAAAAGGTCTCAGTCCCTGGGGCTGCTCCAGAGATACCATGGGCAGGAGAAGGAAGCTTGTGCAGTGAGAAGACAATCCCCTAATATCTTAACACATGCATGTGGAAAGCTAACAGTTTTCAACCTCCAGGTAGGACACGGGGAGCCTGCAAAGATGTCCTTCCACACCACAAAACACTGAACCTGAGGAGATTGGGCAGTGTCAATGAACAGATGTGCTTCACACTACTGCATACAGCACTGAAGCTCACTTATACAAACCTAATTTACTTGCACCTATGCAGACACAGAGGTGTCAGTACTGTGGTATGTCCAGGGGCTCTGCTGGTTTTGTATTCAAGCACCAAATGTCAGAAAGGCAGGAATGTACAGGCAAGACTGGATCTACACATAGTGCCTGTCCCCCAGAGGAACACAGAGACCTTCACCATTATCCTGCCATATTCGTTCCCCCAACACACATCCGGCTGTGCAACAACCCACCCCACGTTAAGGGCTGCCAGCAGCTCACTGCCTTTGGTGGTGATACCTGAGCTACCAAGGTGAGATCTCAGGCTCTCAGTGAACAAACATTGAAGCTTCCCACAGGGTATGGTTGGGCACCTGTGGGACACCAGGAAATGTCTTTAAATCGAGTAGTAGATGGGAAATAAGTACTTACGATCTGCTTCTGTTTTAACGGCTTCACGGAAAAACTGCCATCAACGTGCTAGCAGGAAGAAAAGGAAATGCATTAAATAGCTGAAGTGTACAAAGTAAAACAGATTCATGATCAGAGCTGGTATCTGCTACCTAAGGGGAGTGTGGCACATGTCTAACCAGGTCAGCCAGAATGAATGGCAACCATTCCCAGCAGAGTTAGTGGAACAGGGTATTGGAGTGCTCCTTGTCTGCTCCAGCGCAGAGCCAGACACACTTGGCTGAAGTTAAACCCGGCTGAAATGAGTCAGAGCATACACAAAAATCCACTGGCACACTGGATGCTTTCAGGTTGCAAGCAGTTCCAATTGGGTGCAAACACTTCTTCAGCAAGTCCAGCAAGATTTGGCAGAGGATATTTGTTAACACCCTGAATAACATCCAGTTATAGAGCCACCCTTCAGGCCAGAGCCCCAGGAGAGGAGGGGGCTGGCAGGAGGCTGAGAGCAAGGCTTGGCTACTGGATGCAGTCAGAAAAAAAGTCACGTGTGCTCCACATTGCATCCCCCCCGGCTGCAGTGACCACCTTCCAGACCACCTTCCAGCCTTTAATTTGCTCAGTGGTGGCAGGCACAGCTGGAACAATTCTCTATATACCCAGTGTCAGACCTAGTGACAGGAGCAGCATGATATTTCTATTTTCTCCATCATTTGCAAGGGCCAACTAAACTGAACCAAACCAACTCCTCTGCCAGAGTCTAGAGAGCAGGAAAGGAGATTGAGGGGAAACTCCAGCAGGCCCTGCTGCTGTGAACAGCTGCAGACGTGCATCTGTTTGCTGAAGGAGTAGAAGGGACAACAACATTGCACCAAAAGGGTCCTGTTTTCCAGGCAAACACAAAGTGATGAGTTTCTGCCTTTGGAAGAGCTGCAAGGCCAGACTAAGGATAGTATCAAGGTTACTATTCTGATCTTAAAGATACACATAAATAGTGAGTTACCAAGGTCTGCTGGTCTATCTGTCCTCTGAGCATGCTATGGTCATCAGCAGCAGTGCTTATGAGCAAGGACCTCCTCTGAATTTATGGACCTACCCTTCAAAAGCTGCAATTATTCTAAGAATGGGGAATATATTTTAATCAAACAGGGAGGAGAAACTGCTCAGCAAGCGCTTTGCTCTGTGACTTCTTATTAAAAGAAAGATTTTCATCTTGTTTTAAGCACTCAGTGGAAGATGAGAAGTAAGAAGTGGCCCCACCAGACAGCATCTCCCTCTCACAGCACACACAGATTAGAAAAAGAAGGGAAGCACTTTCAGTCCTTGAGCTCAGACCTGGACACTAGACATAATCCAGCCCTGATGGAATGGCCTGACCAGCTTTAGTTGGTTCCCAGTTTAGCTGCATACCTCATTCATCTCCCTGAACACTAAGGGGGATTTTGCCCATCCGGAGAGCTCAAACATTCTGCACAGTACGTGGAATTTACATAGAATCCTTGAAACCCTCCTTCCAAAACTGGAGCAGTTCAAACCACTTTCCAATCTCATGAGACAGAAATTTCCAAAGCTTCACTTCTGCCCCAGCACTAATGAATTCCCAATACGTGTGTATCTTCCTGCTTTCTGTAAGGTGCTGTGTTCCAGTGCTGACCACGCCATGCTAGAACAGGAAGCTGGGACAAATCCAGGTCCAAGCGAGAGCTCTACTCCCTAACCACAGAGGCTGGGCTCACTGCAACAGCACTTATGTTTGGATACTTGGAAAACAGCAACTAGACACACTCCTTTGGAAGTAAAAACCGTACTCACATCATCAGATCCAAAGCCTAATCTGAACCTCGCTACAACCAAAAAGCTATGAAAGCAATAGCCAGGGGAGCACCAGTGAGTCTTGCAGATGAGGAAGGCAAACATGCATGGAATACTTCAAAATCAGGCTGTGACACACAGGAAGTTACAGAATCACAGGATGTCAGGGATTGGAAGGGACCTCAAAAGATCATCCAGTCCAATCCCCCTGCCAGAGCAGGAACCTCAATGAGATCACACAGGAAGGCATCCAGGTGGGTTTTGAATGTCTCCAGAGAAGGAGACTCCACACCCTCCCTGGGCAGCCTGTCCCAGGGCTCTGGCACCCTCACTGGAAAGAAGTTTCTTCTCAAGTTGAAGCAGAACCTCCTGTGTTCCAGCTCACACCCATTGCCCCTTGTCCTACCATTGGGCATCACTGAGAAGAGCCTGGCTCCATCCTCCTGACATTCACCCTTTACATATTTATAAACATTAATGAGGTCACCCCTCAGTCTCCTCTTCTCCAAGCTAAAGAGCCCCAGCTCCCTCAGCCTTTCCTCAGCAGGGAGCATCTCCCTTAAGTTAGTGCTCTAATCTATTTTTCTCTCCTCAGAAATAGCTGACCATTCATTTTGCAAGACTAGGAGGTCTACGTCTACAGCACTTTCCCACCAAGATGACAGATGGATTCCAAACACTACAGCCTTCCCCAAGGACCCACTGCCCACGCTGTCCTCTCCCAGGTGCTGCTGAACAACAACTGAGGGATTCCAGTGTGGTGTTTTGGTTTTTTTTTCCAGATCAGCTGGAGGAGGAAACCAGAAGAATAACATCCCTGCCCTAGTCCCAGGGTGCTGCAGCTGCCCATCTCATTTCTGACAGATCTCTAATTGCCAGAACTACCTACCAGTGCTCAGGGCAGCCTTTCTAACACAGGAAAACTCATTTTCTTCACATACTAAGTCCAACTAAAAAACAACCTAGAACACTTAGGGCAACTTCTAGTCACAGGGCTTCCTTAGGACTGACTGTGCTTCCCATGACTCAGCTTGTCACCATCCATATTATCCACCTAGGAGGAACAGAGTAAGACCTGTCAGCTTGGTCAGGGACATGGCAGGAACTAAGCAGACCGAGAAACAGACGTCAGTCCACATGCCAGCCTGGAAGTGGGAAATTTCTAAGAGCACAGCGTTATGCTGCTCCCTTCTACGTGCCCAGCTCTGCTCCAGCATCTCTTGCTTCATCTTGGCACATCACTGCAAGTATCTCTTGCCCAGGATATGTGTTTGCAGTATCACCACAACCAGACACAACATGGTGCAGTTATGGATCTTGCAACTGTGTTCAGGGTCCAGTTACCATAGGAAGAGATTTTGTTATCAAGGCTTGTGCATACAGCTTGGCTGAGCCTTACCATGTAGGCAGCGGTCAGCTACATCAAACATGTCCCTGAGAAGCAGTGGAGCTCAAGGTCTTTATGCAGGATGTATCCTAATTCTTTAAAAGGGCTTGGTGCTATGTGTAAACTAAGGCCAAAGGATGGTGCAACAGGGTCTGGACACAGCAGGTCTGGTTCTGCAAAGAGATCATGAGGCCCTAGAAAACTGCATGGTAGCAGCCATGGTCAACACCTTCCACCCTCGAACACCACAGCCACTGAGGCACACCCTCTCCCCACACACAGGAAACACCAGCTACCATTAGCTGAGTGACCAGCTCAGGTACAAATGATAATTACAGGCTGCACAAGAGCTGCTGCAAGCAATTATTTGTACTACAACAGCACTCAGGAACCCCAGTCATGGGCCAGGACTCCACTGTGCTAAGTGTTACATAAATACAAACTAATGACCCATAGAAATGTTTACATACACCAGGACAGGGACAGAGGGGTGGGGGGGAAAAATCATTTACCTTTTCAAATGCAGCCAGAAGAACGTGGGCATGACCAGTCACCTCAACCACCACTGGAAAAAGAGAAAGAGCAGTCCTGGTTAAACCTTGAAAACAGCACAAGCAGAAAACTACCACGAGCTGAATTTTATTTAATTTACAATTTCTAAACCACCACCTGTTCTATTTCCATTTGCTTTTGCAATTTCAAACATCTTGTCATCAGATTGGTTCAACTCACACTCCTGTAGAGCAAGAGTGGTGGGGTCTCCACAGACATGCCTTCATTATCTTGGGTGCTCCAAACTATCCTACTTGGTTTTCAGAAGTTGGAAAGGGAAAGTAAAACAGAGAGCTCAGTGGGATTCTGCTCTCCCCTCAAATTCATAGTTTTAATTACCTGAATTTATCACAGAGATTAATAAACCCATCTGGTTTAACAGCAGCTGGCAGCACTTCCAGCCCTACTTATCACTTTATTTCACTCTAATCTGACACACTTATAAAAAAAATGATTTCTCATACCAGTTTTGCACACTGAAACATCTGCAGCTCTCTGATTTTTTTTGCCCAAAGACAAACATCACGGCTTCCTCTTCCAAACTTGAGGCTTCCCTCTTAATCTAATAGCACTGAGTGAGAAGGGGCTGTCAGAGGTTTCTCTACTGCATTCATAGCTCCCTCAGCAAATAAAAATACCAAACAGAGGTACAATCCCAGTCTCTCTGCCTCAAGACTGTAAGGTTCTGTTCAGCTCCAACCAATTGGACTTTTTTTGCTTAGTTATGATCAGACTCATCACATGGAAATGGAAGGCAGAGGTTGTGGAGGAGTCACCGAGGGGAGGGAAGGCATGAAACCACCTCACCCTGCCTGGACTGACAAGTACCCGGGCTGTGCTCAGCACACACAGAGGAGCTGGCAGACACTAGTATCAGCTGTGTGCCAGAAAGTTAACTGCTGGAAAAAGCAACTCCTGTGTTGTCTAAACGGGAGTGGAGCTCGACAGCTTGCTTTGGACCCCCAGAACAGCAGAGACAACAAGAGGAACCACTCACTGGACAACAGCACCAAGATCGTGTTTGGGAACAGCAGTACGTGGGAGAAGAGAGCCCATGCCTGCAGATTTGCTGGGCAACTGAGATTGGTCGTGGCAATTCATCTGCTTGCTCCCCTCACTGCCAGCCAAGAGCAAGGCTGTTCTAGCTCACTCAGGAGATGACATTCAGGTCCCTCTCCACAGTCTGAACAGCCAAGTAAGAGAGCACAGGCATTGCTTCCCTTCACATCCCCCATGGCATTCAAGCAGCACGTGTGGCTGGAGCTGGGTGACCCGCTCTGCGCAGCACCTTCCCTCCCCGAAGGGTTTCTGTACCTTTCCCTGAGAGCAATCCTGCTGGCTAACAGGAGAGGGCTAACATTGCAAGCTTACATTCTTCAAGGTATGCAAACATCTCCTGGCAGAATTCAGTCCAAACCAACAGCTCGCTGACTGCTATTTTAATTCAATTTTATTTAACACAAGCAGTTACAGGCCAGCTGTAATTTTCCAGGTGCTCCAAACACATCAGGCCAGCTCATTCCTGTGCCATCAGTTAAAAAAAGAACCAAAATACACAGCAATTTCCTCAAATCTCGCTCAAGTGTCACATATTTTTGTGCTGATACGCTTTCCAGGAAGGGATTTAAAAGCAATTGCCTTTCCAGGTTATTAACATAGATGACAGTACACTATTGGCTAAGACTGGGCATGGTATGTGCATAAATGTACGCTTCCCATGCTGCCTCCTGTGCTATTTCTTGTCCTTCTAGGCATGCTCAACATTATGAAGTATAAATACATTGCCAAAAGCTCCATAAACAGAGGAAGGTGTTTTATATTTATAGTAATGAAATATACATACATGTCAATTTTACTAACAGTGCCTGAAATCACTAAAAATAGATGCACTTTAGAAGTAATTTCCTTTATGTTGCCCTGTGCTTTGTTAGTCACGCTTTAAATTGGTTCATCCAGTTCTATTTCACTCTGTTTGGAAAACTGTAAAATAATACAATGAATTGCTGGACACTTTAATATCTATAACATAAGACACTGAGCACAGTGACTGCATTAAACAATGCAATCAACGATGGCCTTTTTTTTCCTTTCTGATGATTCTTACATTTTGTACAAAACATGACAAAATGCAGAAGTGAAATGCTGGTTCTGCTGATCACAACAGCCCCCAATTTTAGAGAAAACATGATTTCCTTGTGTCCTTTTCACTGCTGACGCCCAGAATGAGTGCAAACACACGGAGTCCAAAAGCATGCACTAAAGAAAGTCCTAAAGAAAATACTCTGCCAAGGTGAGTAACAACCTAAACTACTGGACTTCTCTACTGATTGTCCCTCCCAACAACATTATTTCTCATCAAAGGTTATGTTGTTTTGTTGTAACTGTTCAGCATCCTTCAGAAAAAGCAGGAGAATTTTAAACAGCTGAATGAAGCTGCATGTGGTTGAACAGTGGCTTGAGTATTTTAAATCCTTTTCTTTTTCTCTGACCATTCCTAGGGGAAGATCCACCCTACAGTTAAACAGAGCTTTTATGAAAACAACTTACCCCTCAAAGAGGGGAAAAAACCAACTCCCTCCTTGCCTTACAAACTGCAAATGCAAAACCCAAAGAGAGTGGAAGTCATTTGCTCCAGTTTGTGCCTGGCACTGGTGGCAGAGGCAGGAGCTCTCCTAAACACCACACCAACACTAAACACCTGGCCATTTTTCCTGTAAAAAAATGGGGGCTATTTTTAAAAGCATGTTTTTAGGTAAGAACCTGAGGTTAGCTGGGCCTTTTTAATACAGGGAAGTTCTTAAGGTGAACTCCTGAAATATTTTCAGTCTGGAAAGGCTCCCCAAGCCTTTGCTATGAGTAAAGTGTTTTCATCATTGCAGAAGGAGGCCTGTCCTGAAGGAGTCACATAACCTCAAAGAGAAGACCACCAAGGGAGCACATCACCATGCTTACCATCCCCTTCATCCACCACCGCTCGGATGACCACAGGGAACACGCCACGATCCAAGTCAAAGTTCAGCTGAGGGAAAGAAACGAGGTGAGGTTAGACAATTCACACCAGGCTTGCCTGAAGAGAACACTTGAGATAGCATTAACATCAGAGGAATGAAGGCACCTTCTGATGGGTTCCCAGTCCCTGATCTCAAAAGGACATGACAGAGCAGGAGGATTTAAAATTCAGATACCAACTTTCAAAGGCAGTCAGTCAGAATAATGACAACATAGATATATTGACATGGTACTGAACACCAACCGTGGCTAGCAAAGGAAAGGATCTCTGTTGGGATTGTATATGTTACTTAATTCTCACTAATTCATATAACCTGAAAAATTCTTAAGTGATTTGTAGTAGGACAAGTTTCTCAAAATATAACTAGTGCCATAGTTTTTCTTATGGATGGTAGGAGGTACGAGTTATAGCACAGCAGCACACGTGCTCCCTACACCACAAATTAACACCCTGACTCTTGTATGAAGGTCTTGAAGATGTAGAGAAAAATCTGTAAACCTTCAAGCTCACACAACACTTTAAGTAAACACCAGATTGATTTCCATCTCTTGGCATGTAAGGAAACTCAGGTCCTTGACTTTCTAATGGGCAAGAGTGAAAGTTTAAGATCTCACTTGAGTGCAAGGAAAATAGACTCAATTTCTTCCTTTGCCCTGCACTTTATTAAAGCACTTCAAAAGCTCCATGTCATCTTACACACACACAAAAAATGCAAACTTACAAACACTGTCCTATGCCAGGAATGGAAGTGGATCAGAGACCGGATTTCTGGTGTTTTTGTTAATCACTGACTCGGGTTTTTTTGCCTGATCTCTTGCCAAGAGAGAAAAAGATGCCGTTTCACCATGGTGCTCCAGGTAGCCTGTTTTCAGTTTTCCAGTGAAAATTGAGACTAAATTTGAAGACACAAAGAGCAGCAGCATCATTCAGGTGATGCTTTGGGGCTTCCCTCACTTTCCCACAGCCCCAACATCATTTGCAGTGTGATTTTCTCCAGCCAGTCCCTCAAAAGATAAACTGTCAGGATAGTCATTGGCATTGGCACAGATGACAACCCAAACCACCCCGACTGGAGGGAAGGTGACCCTCACCCTGAGCCTTAACATAGTTGAAAATGGTTCCTCCTCAAATGAATTACAAACTAAATGTTCATCCTGAAATGAATTATAACCATAGGCTGGGAGACAATAAACCCAGCCAGTCACCAGCCAAGGGTGCCATAGCCCATTAGCCACATGGCTGTTTTCTAGAAGCAATTCTGAGCTGCATAACAAAGCTTTGCACACACACACATCCGTTCAAATGCACATACCTGATCCCAAACAGAAAGCACGTGCTTGGAAGACCTTATGATTTGCCCTAGCTAGTCTTCAAACCTGAGGGATATTGATTTTCATCCTCTATATGATGGTTTTACATTCTATTTGTCCTTTAAACTACCAGAATCTATTCTCTTTCCACAACAACAGAGTAACAGAGCAAACACAAAAATCTCATTTAACCTCTCGGTATTTGTTATTTCACATTCATTTTTAGGGACCTGAAAAAAAAACCTGTCTCAACACAAGCCATACACGATAACATGCAAGCAAACCAGTATATTATGATGACAAAGTAAACTTTGATAAAGCTTTCCACATAACAACCCAACATAACAATATTTTCTCTTTTGCTGGCCAGCCAAGAACTAGATCATACACGAGTATTACACTGAGCAAAAATCTGAGGTAAATTTGGGGGTTTTTGGACAATAACAAAGCAGGAAAGCGATGTGAAACATGCAATTGCACACAGCTCAGTGACAACACTCTGCCAGCTATCTCAGATAAAAGTGCTGCATTTCAGCGGCCAGTTAAGAGGATTCAGCCACATGCATTTTACTGGACTTGAGAGGACAAGGACCGATAAGTACACAGAGCTGAAATGGGGGAAGAAACTCTTCCAAATCACAGTGCTTGTTCCACGTTTTCTTCACAACCAGAGCTCCCAGTAAAAAAGAGGAGACAAAAGATGAGCAGAATCAAGCAAAAGGAGCTAGAAGCTTACTTCTCCATAGCATCTCTCCCTTTAAGCTGTCAAAGGGACATGACTTTAGTACTTGAGTTAAGACCTTGCTGGCAGGAACAAAAGTGAAAATGAAGCTTCTCAATTCTTTAAGAAGAAAAGGATCTGAGCTCCTACTTTCCAGCTCTCTCAGACAACAGAAGGGATTGAAAAGCAGCTCTTCCAGGCTTTTGTAGGCTGAACTTGTGAAATCATATATTGGCAGAGAAGCCAAGACATCAGGAGACCATACTCTGCAGGCTCTTGGTAACCGCCACGGCATTTGTTAAGGCACGGGACTGATTATAGTTATAACTGTAACTTCAAGACAATAGCTATTCAGTCTTTTCAAAATACATGAAAGATTACTTTTTTTCCTTCTCTTTTGTTTTCTTTTTTGGGGGGGGAGGTGGTGTTTGTTTGTGGGGTTTTTTTTGTTGTTGTTTTTTAAAACATGTAGAGTTATCTACCAGGGTTCACATACGCGATACTTTTCTACAGGCTTGGGTCAGGAAATGAACACTGTATCAGTGTTGGCCTGGGAGAGGAGTCCACAGGAACAGATATATTAGCAGTAGCTAAATAAAATAGCATTTCTGATGCAGACTGACTCCTCTGCATCAGAAATCTTTTATGCACAGAGCAGGGGAAAGACCAAGGCCTCCCTGCCCTGCATCACATGCAGAGGAAGCCCTTGGGCCAAAGCTCAGAGGCTCAAGAACAGAGAGTTACTGCCTGGGTTCAAATTTCACAAAGATACCAAAATTAAGAGGACTCCAGAGATCTTGCTATGTAGTAAAAGCCACAGAGCTTAATTAAAACCAAGCCCTCGTCTGTTTGCAGTTATGGGTTAAACTAAAATGGGGAAGGCATTCCCTTATTCAGCATTAATGCACCAGTGTGAATCTGCCCCAGAAGGGAGAGTATCCCCCCACACCACCGTACTGCTACAGTGAATAATGCAGCATGTGGACCTTAAACAGAACAGGACTCTTCTAGAACAGTGATCTCCAAACTATTTTGACTATTTATCCTACTCTCAATATCTGTATATTTATTATTTATAAGATATATGCATGTACTACTGAAGTTCTTCTGGGAACCCAATGAATTGCCTTGCATGCACCCTACTTCGGAGATCCCTGTTCTAGAGGACCAGCCAAAAAAGACAAAATCAAAAAAATACCAAAACAGAGAGATCAAGACAGACATTTGTTCTCACAAGCTCTTTGGCTGGCAAAGAGAGGAAAGCTGAGGAGTGGCAGGTTCCTCCAGGAAGAGCTCCAGTGCCAATCTCTGCAGTCTCCCTCCTACACCAGATGTTGGGATGCCAGCTGATCAGTGATATCAAAAGTTGCTTCTTTGAGTTTCTTCCCTGTTTGCCTGATCTACCTGCCAAGTTCCCACATACCTGCTCCTCCCAGGGCCCTTTTTGTCTCATATGCACAAAACATGCCACGGCAGCTGGGAGAAGGTGTCTTCCAGCCATAACTTCATGGCACTAAATGGAGTCCAGTGCTTCTGGGTCAATAGGGTTGTGGAAAGAAGGGGATACTGAGAAGAGACTTACCTCATCATCCTTCCAGTCTGAGAAATCAATCTTGAAGGAAGGCAGGGAGAATTGCTGGCTTACCCCTCTCTTGTAATGAACCGTCTCCGACTGCAGAGAGGGGTTCTTTGTGCTGTACCTGAAGAAAAGGAGGGAAAAAGAAAACTTGCTGTACCAAATGATTGTTCTCTGCTAGGCTCTCATTCATTCCCGCCCGTCCGCCTTTCAGGAATCACAAGTGGCAGCTCTAAGAGGCAGAGCTGGCAGGGCTGGCAGCCATTCCGTGGGGATACAAAAAGGGAAGGGAAGGGAAAGGTCAAAGCAAGAACGTGAGCACAGGGAAGGGAAAGCAGCGCAGACAGGCAAGGTCTGATTGGATCCATACTGACCTGCCTGGAAACACAGGGTGTCAGAGGAGTACAGTGGGGTGCAGCAGCCTGGCAAAGGCTAGCTCACTAAATCCAGGGCCTAGGCAACGCTGGTTTTTTCAGCCCAGCACACAGTCATATTTTCTGCAGGAAACCCAGGAAGAACGAGCAATGATCTAAGAGCAGCAACACACAACCCAGCACGGTGCTGAAAGCTCTCCCACGCCTCCACGGGACAGCTCTGCAGTGAGAAATGCTGCTTGGATGACCATCATCCTGGTAAACAAGAGTCGTTCCCATTTACTCCTCTATTCCTCATGTGCTTCCCCAGAGGTGTTGCAGGGCTACCAACACTCCAGAGAGACACCAACCAGTCCTCCACACCGGTCACTGAGAGAAAAGTCACAATTCTTCACTGCCTCATGGCCCAGCACTGAAACACCAGCACTGCCAGGCTGGGAGGAACATCTCTGGAATGGGACCAGAGCTACCACCCATCATCTTCTGCACCCAGAGCCCACCCAGCACTGTCTGCCCCAGGAGAGATGTTTCATTGTCCACTGGCCGTCACTATGGATGGGGTGATTCACAGTGGCCTTCAGTGGAAAAGCAGGATCAAGAAGTTTCCACCCTTTCTGGAGGGTGGTTTCTGAGCTGGATGTGCCCAGCCTCTCACTAAGTCAACTGAGGCAGAGAACTGCAAAGCAGGGTGGGAACATCTGAAGCTGGTTTTACCACCAAAGCCTTTGTTGCTGAGCTACCAACCGTGTGTTCAGAGCATATGGACAAACCAAAGAGAAAGATCCCTGGCCCAAGAGGCTTACACTGCAGAAACAACCACCTCCCCCAGCACAGTGACGCGGCAAGTTCAGTTCCAGCTCTACAAGGAAAGACTTCAACAGTCGATCTCAACAATGGGATGTTATCTCTTCTGCACATTGACCACCGCTGCCTAAACTGAGCTTCCCATGGTGAGACTGTGAGAAGACTGGCCTCCAGCCACTGCATACTCAACAGCTACAAGCTCCAAGCCTTGCTGACTCTTCAGACTCGATTGCCACTGTTCTTGAACGACCAGACAACCCAGGGACAAGTGTCACGTTAGCACCAGGAACTCTAGGCTGAGTTTATCTTTAATTCAACTTGGGATATCACCCAGGATTCCCCAACAACTAGCTCCTCAGATTTTGCTGATTCCATTTCTCAAAGAATAATATGGGCAGTACTACTGCCAGCCCTGCAAAGGAGACAAGGCCAGAGGAGATAGAGGCATTTGATGTGGCCAATTCAGCAGAGAGCCCTGTGAAGCAGAGTACTTAACATAGTGTACACAGAGGCAAAGACAAGAGAATCCTTGCTTGAAAAACAGGATTCTCTACTTTTGAGCATATTCAGTTGTTCTGAAACACAGATGCAGTTTACAAATCACCAGGTACACGAGCAAATGTTGGAAAGCTCCAAGTTCCTTTGGCCTAACTACACTTTGTGGAGGAGCACAGCACAGCAGAAGGGGATGGCAATACAAAGATCCACATCTGAGGTAATGCCTTCTGGTTTCTGTAAGGAAGCAGCAAGAGGGCTGGGCAGCTCACTTCCAGAGGGTGTTGAAGCACAAACTGTAGGAAAAGCCCAAGGTGCAGAGTCAACCAAGAACTGCAGAACTGAGCATCACACCAGAGATGTGAAGACTGGGCTGGAGGATGGCAGACGTGATTAAGAGACAACGTGCCCGAAGCTAAAACTCAGCTTTAAGTGATGCTGTGGAAACTTTACACTCAAAGATCTACAGCTCAGGCAGCCACCTGCTGCCAGAGTGCAAGAGCCCACAAAGGCAGGAGGCTGCCCCCCAGGGCTCAGACCAGCCAGCTCTGTAACACGCAGCCTTGAAGCACAACCATGAGGATGCATTTTGCAGCTGAACGTATAAGAACCTGGGTACCAGAATATGATGAATATTTTTTAATTCCTCTCAAACCAAGGAGGAAAAACCAGGCTCCCCACTGGCATGAACTGTTGCCTTTCTCTGGAAAGCTAGTGTATTTCCTGCACCCTCTGAGGATCCAAAGGGTTTATCAAGTGTCACAAGATGCACGGTAAATTCTGCAACGCTGTGAGGAAGGCCAGGTTCACCGCGTGCACTCCTCTCTTCCTGCCAAGGCAGTTGCACTGTGTTATTTATGACAACACCTCACCCTCAAAGACCGTTCTGTACTGTGCTGAAATTGTGCTGCTTTACTCGAAGGTCTCACTCCATCCTTCGCATTTCAAGCATGGTGTGGGACAGATCAGAATGACAGGTCTTTTCTGTGTGAATTACAGAGCAAGCAATTGAGTGAAGTTTTATTTACTGAGTTGTCAAGCACAATGAATAGAGCAAGCCTGTATCTAGCTCCTTTTGTGGTGCTCTCAAAGCTTCCCAGCTCTGCAGAGGCACAATTCTCCCTCTACAGCTGGGAAAGCAGAGGATGGAAGAGTGACTTATCTAAGGTGACAGCAAGTCAGGAACTGATTGGAAAGAAAGTGCAGAGGAGAGAGTGGAGGTCAGAGACTGCCTGGATGACATGCACCACAGCAGTGCTGGGAAAGGGGTGTAAACATGCTGATGGTGAGTGACAGGAAAACCAGAGGACCTGCACTTACAGCACCAGAAGCCCAAACCAGTCTACAACAGGAAAACAAGGAGTGCTGTTCCAAGGAGGATAGGGTAGAACAATACTCGTGTAGACTTGCTGCTCTCATTGCCCCTAAAAAAATAAATAAACCAGGTACACAGATTTTCTGAGCTGAATAGTACAGCAAAAATATCAAGGAGGCTTCCCCAGGTCAGCCAAGCAAGCTTTATGCCTCAGATCGTGCAACTGCCTAGCCCTCATTGCCAAAACTCATGTCAGACTTGGATCTGAACACTCAGACAACACTGGAGACCTCCAGTCAGCAGCCAGTCCCGAAGCTGCTGAGCACCAGCAGGCCAAGAGCTTGGTGAATTCCCAGGAAGCGCTGGTGACCCCAGATCATCACAGAGGTCGATCATCTGTGATGCACAGGATCCACCACACAAGTACCCACTCCTCGTGCTGCATGGGAGGACAACTTGGCAAGCTGGTACAAAGCAAGTGTCCTGCATATTAGTGTCTAAGTGGTCTCTACCCATTCCCAGTCCTTTTGGTCGGCATCTGCTGTATTCAGAAGTCTTCTCTTCCCTGCCTATGCTGCGGTGGGCTTAGAGCAAACAATAGCAGAGAAGCTCTGTAGAGCTGTGGAGATGTGTTACAGGAAAAGAGAGCAGGTATTAGAATAAAGGATACCAGAGAAGCAATGTGCTGCCTCTCCCTGCATAAAGGCTGCTGTTTCACCAGTGGGAGCCTTTTGGGAGCCTCTGGCTAAGCAGAGTTAAACTTCTGCTGCTACACGTTCACTGGAGATGCAACAAGAATGTGTCGGGTGATTCCACCTCTTGCTGATCCCTGGGGAAGTTCTCATCAGTGTGCCAGTCCCAGCTCGTGCAGATCTCTTCAGTGCTGTGTTCCTCATGCTCAGCTCCCCCTGGCACTGGGGCTGCCTCAGTCACAGCCAATTCCTGTTCCCACAAGCACACTGAGACCGCTGACCGAGAAGCGCTAAGCAAGGATCCAAGCTAGCTTGCCTCAGAGTTATGCAGAGCACTGTCCAGACCCCATTCCTCAGAGAAAAGCAAGATGCACACGTAGCAATGTTGCCCCAAGGTGCTGTTTTTGACCAGTAACAGCTGAGAGACAGCCTGCACTTTGAGAAACCTGGGGACAAAAATAAGAGTCCTCTTTCTTTAGTCACAGCTACACACGTTGCATGGATATTTGCAGTGAACCAAGGACAAGGCAGAGTTACACAAGAGCTTTAGAGGGTACTCAGGAACCAACTCTTCCACTGCTGCAGGCTGTGACTGCCTGGCAGGCTCCATGTCCTCTTACAGGTGATGAGGAGGGGGCCAGTCATGTTCTGCTGGTGTTCAAAGGGGCCAGGAGTTGATGTGGAGCACACATGGTTGCCTCCCTCTCTCTCCCCCACCTGCACACTGCCCTTTCATTTTGGGCCAGGATCTCACAGATCAGCTCTCAGGGAAGGGGGAAGTTAAATAAATGTCTCAATGTGATTTTTACTGATAAAAGAAAAACTACTAAACTAGAAGGCGGCCACAGCCCTAGGTCTCAGTCAGAGTTAGGCAAGATCCAGCCTAGAGAGGCTCCCACACAGAGTATTGAGGTTAACCTGGTGCTAAGTCCCTGCCAGTCTTCTCCTCCCAGGACTGAGTTTCCACTCCAGGCCAGGAGAAAACAAACACCTTACCAGGCAGCTGAAACCCTGCCACCCACATCCCACTCCAGCACCTGCAGAGTTCTGCCTTCAGCTGCTGAGCTTACTGCTGAGAGCACCGCGCTCACGACTCCAACCAGGCTTCAAAGCTGGCGGCTTACACAACAGCTACACAGCGAGGCACAAAGGCCAGAGATCTTATTAAAGACAGAGAGTTTGTCTGCTCAGTGAAATCTATAGAATTTAGCTCTCCAGCCTGTGAACTCTGCACACTACAGCGTTCCCTTGGGGACTGGTGTCTGCACGGATCAAAGCAGCCTTCGGCCATAAAGGCTTGTGCCTCGCCAAAAACAGCGCTTGCCTCCGATTCCTTCACGCAGAAGAAATCTTTCTGCACAAAGAATTCATATTAATCACCACAGTCCACAGCCAAAAGCAGCAAGAGCACCTTTTCAAAGGCCCTGAATAGACAGAGGCTATTAAATACCCAAAGGAATATCTGAGTGCCTCTGTCTCTCCTGTGCCAGCTTCAGTGAGAACAGCCATGCGCCGAGCTCCCCGTTTCAGTCGGATTTCATTTTGTCAACCAACTATTCAAACTTCCACATGCAGACAGAATACATAATCGTGTCAGTGTCACGTCCACCTCAGCTTCAAAGACTGCGGTAGGATGTGTGGGATGAATGTCACAGACATTGCAAAACAAACAAGGAAATGAGATTTTAAAAAAACAAAACCAAAACAAAACCAACCAGATCCAGTGCAGCCATTTGTGCATCAGCAACACAAACAGCACAGCCCTGAAAAAGGGCAAGGACTGCAGAGCTGGACTGACCTATTTTCATTGTGTTTTCACTTTATGAGAAAACAGAGCTTGCCAACATTACTAGGATACGGAAGAGAACCTTTTCTGTCCAGAGAAGAAGATCTTTATCATAACAATGGGCTGCAAAATTCAAACCTCTCACGTCATATTTGTCATTAGCTCCTGATCTGCCTGGATTGCTCATGTCTTTAGAGCTGGCTGCTTTAAGTGCTTCCAGCTACAGGGCTGGTTTGACTCCTACCCCTGAGGAAACAACCGCTGCTGTCATGTTTTAACTGCACAATCTTTCCTGCTAGTCAGCAGGACACCTACAGCTGGAAAAGTCCCGGGGGGCCCTCCCAGGAACAGACTAATGGTGTGCACACCAAGGTTTTTGCCAGAGAAGGAAAGGATGTGTTTGTAGAGCACACACAAAAAAAGAATATGAACATCTCTGAAGCCTGCTCCAAAAAACATACCTGTCTCCTAAACCAAAGACATCTAAGGGTACTAACACAAGGCAGGCTTCTCTGCCATCTGAATAGAGATCCATCTCTCTCGGTGAACCACGGACAGGGTGGATTAAAAAAACTCATATTAAAAAAATAAAATACTCTTTTAAGTTGACAGTTGTGTTAACTTTCAGAAACTCTGATGAAAGTTAACTGTGAATTCTTCAACTCTTGTCTAGGAGCTGCTGAGGAGCACTGCCAGCCCTGCAGTGGAAATGCAGTGCTGAGTACCCCCTCTTTCATCTGGGGGGAAATGACACGCTCATGGGCAATCACCAGTGAGCAGTCAGTGTGAAACTCACACATCTGCATGTCTGTGTCTCCTGTATGCCAAGGCAGAGGTTCTCATGCCATTGAGACAGGGCCCACCCTGGTCACCCTTCACCTTTTGGCTGAGATGGCTGAACCCTTCCTTGCTGCACGTGACGATCAACTCTACCGCAGGCACAGAGCTGGCTCTGCCCGGCTGGTCTAAAATCCCAGTTAGCACCATGGAACCTGACAGCAAATTTCTCTTGGTTTGTAGGATGTTTTTGAAGCTGACAGGTACTGCTGTGCCTCAGTGACTCTGTGCAATACAAGACTTGTCCTCACAGGTGAGCAGTCAAGCTGTTATGATCATTTCCACAACCAGGGTATTCCCAACTGCTTTCTACCCAGCTGCTGGGAAACTAAAGCCAAAGGAAAGGACAAACTGAGAAATATCACTCTCTCCAAACCAGCCAGATCACAGATCAACTGCCCAAGAGCACACCCAGCACTAACCACAGATGAGAGCAGACCCTCAGGGAAGACACTGTGCCAAGGATCACTCGGGGCACTGCCACAGGAAACAGAAGCACAGTGGTACAGTTTGCCAATTTCCAAAACCACAGCAAATGGACACAACCAGAAAAATAAATAAAACTGAGGATATTGGGGGTCTTGAGCTGTTCAGAGGCAGGTGACCACTAATTCCATGCCATTAAAGAGACTCTGGACATAGGCAGATCTGGTCTCTGTTACCCTTGGGGCAATGCACCAGCTGGTCCTGTGAGAACTCAAGAGTTTACTCTGAAGAGTCTTTAAGTTCACCACAAAGTAACTGGGCAAAAGAGATTCAGAAGTGAGAGCAGCAATCCCCTCTAGATTTAAACTAATTCCCATTTCATCCAAGAGGCTTCTACAGACATCTGCACTAGCACCAGAAAGTGCTGGGTACCTTCCCCTGGGCACGGGGCCGCAGAGGCGAAGACACCTCCACAATCACCAACAGCCACACATTCACCTTCTCCAGACTTTACTGGTCAGCTGTGGTCCCACAGTGGTTATGACACAGCTCCCCCTGAAACCCAAGAGTTCAGCAGCTCAGGACAAGGGGCAGGCAGCAGTTGGGAGCTACGTGTTCCTGAGATCTTGGCTAGGAAACGGTATAGCTGTGCATATATCTCCCAGCATGATTACCTGGGAAAGTCTGCTCAATGCTCCTTGGAGACAGGTCAGGACAGGCAGCGCATACTGATAAAGCCACCAGCTTTTAACCAGAGCCCACAGAACTCCAGGAGGAAGCTTTCTGGCTGGCAGAGAGAAAGGCTTCCCTTTGGTCATGGAGACCAGCTAATCCCAAAGGCAGACCCGCGACACACAGGGCGTCAGGACTCTCAGACGAGCAGAGGCTCTACAACAAGCAATGCCTCTGCTCAGGGCGAGCCACCTTCCCTTCCCTCCTTTCACCCCAAAATGTACAAACATGACAATGTTTGCAGGAGTTTCACATGAGCAGGAGCGCTGATACCATCAGGATGAGTGGCTGTTTCAGCAGAGAAGCCAGAATAACTTGTTTAGCACTTCTAAGGAGCCATGCTGCAGGCTGAGGGACTAGGAGAAAATTTCTGCTTTTGACAAGAATCCAGAAAGTTTCTCCCATTTTAGGATTTAGCATCAATTTAGGAGAGTGGAAAAAAAAAGTGTTTTGTTTTAAAGAGCATCTTTCTCCCCCATCAAGTGCTGGACACAGCAGAAAGTTTTGAATTTATCCACAGTGCAGCTTTGGCACATGCTTGTTCCTTGAATGTAGCTGTTAACACCAAAAGAAATTGAGAAGAAGGAAAAAACTACCAGGCCAGGCAGGGGGAAGCAGCATTCCTATTAGTGCACTAAAAATGCACTCACTCCACTCAGAGCTCGAAGAATGCAAGCCCAGATTTTTCTTATTTTTTTTTTTTCCACTAGAATTTGAAAAGAATAAATCAAAGTAATTATAGCACTGCCCTTTCAGAACTGCTTTGCAAAGCTGAAATTAGAGCTTCAAAAGGTTTTTACTAGCAGCCAGCAAATCCAGAGAAGCAGAGATGCCTACTTTGGGCAGCTGCACTAGCCCCAAGACGTGCCTCATAAGCCACTTCCACATGGAAAAATAGCCTGGGTTGAATTAAAGCAGCTTATAAAGTCTATATTTGTATCTGACTTCCCTCAGCCCTTATTACCTACACATCTGCATGAAATCAGGATCATGCCTTCCAAAAGGTTCCCTGGCTTCTGCTGCAGCCCCTCACACTTATCTCACATGTATTGTCCGAGAACTCCAGCGCAGAGACAGATAGTTCATCACTCCTCTAACTTTGGGGAAATTAAACGATGGTTTATGAAATCAGAGGCCAGCAGTGGAAGCAAGAGTGCTTTGACTTTTGATGTGAAGGTTTAGTGCACTTGGGACTGCTGCCACCCTAGCAGGGCAGCACAGTATCATCAGCTACACTTCGTTAGCGAGGTAATGACTGCTGACTACTGATCCTGGTTTCATGCAGAGGCAGGTCGGGTTCATGAACAAAGGCTTCTCCTCCGCCATCCGAATAGAGATCCATCTCTCTCAGTGAACCATGGACAGGGTGGATTAAAAAACTCTTATTAAAAAAAAATAAAATTATTTCAAGTTGACAGTTGTGTTAACTTTCAGAAACTCTACCCAGGAATTGTTCAAGTTAAATTTAAAAAGCAATTAGGTAGCTCATGTTTGCTGCATAAGCTTTAAAGAACAGACAACAGCACTGGTGACAGTCACTGGCTTAGTGCACGGCACTAAATTTCAGTAAAACGTGTTCTTAAGTGAACCAGAAACTGTGTTTTCCTCTTCCAATCAACCAACAGAGTTCTGAGAGGAGAGCTACTAGTTTCAGAAAACTGAAAACACACTCTGTCCAGAAACAGTTAGTTATAGTCGGTACCTATAGTACTCCATTAAACAATTATTATTCAAGGCACAACTTGACAAGACACTCTCTTAAGAGTCCAACATAGAGCAGTTTATATATATTTATAAATTTTATAAATTTATATATTTATA